TAGCTTGGTGATCACACAGTAGTCCGTTCCTGGAATGTTATCCCCGGAGAGGGCGAGCGGGATGAGGGTCGAGGACGCGGTGACGATGAGCAGGGAAACGAGAAAGAATAAAGTGATTGGACGGCTAGTGATGAATATTGCTCGAACGCGGAAGAACAGAAGAAGAGATTCTGAGGTGACGAAGGCGGGGAAGCCGCCAAACAGCGCTTGATTGAGGTGGTGACACCGAGAACCCATAGGCGCGACTGGGAATAGGGGCCGTCAGCAGGACGTAACCACAAGAAAAGAGGAGAACGTACGAAAAAACAGAATGGTCAAAACGAGTCCTGTAAACGTGAGAAGTCTAGGTTGAATGGATGAACACACAATGACACTCCGAGGACAGCGATGACCACGAAGACCGACCTGGTGAACACATAGACTAGCGTTGGCCATCCTATCCTGGCTCCCCCGCTGAGAAGTAGTCGGTAGTCGTCGTAGAGATTGTATACTACATCCCACACGAAGATCTGTCAGTTTTTTGTCTCTAAAATGAGCGGAACAATTGACAGGATGTTGCGGTATTGCGACTCACCGTGAAAGCGCTAACCACAGAGTACCGAACGATCTGCAGGTATACTAGGTCCTGTAGCTCTTCTTCGGGTGGCGACATATGGGAACTACTGAGACCCTCGAAGTATATATACTCTCATGGGTTGATTCCTAAAAAGTAAGATTCCATTCGCACTTTTTCCGTTGACGGAACCCTACTTATTCGGGACGACTGGTATGGCTAAAACGATTCATCCAGTGGCTCATGAGTCATACGTACATACTCACTTTGAATGGGCGTGGGACCTACAATAAACACCCTGTCGAAGTCCCTGTTCAGGTACTGTCAAAGCAAGAGACTGGTGCGCAATTCCATTCAGTAGTTAGCTCCCCTCAAAATACTTAGCATGGCCAATTACCCACTCCCTTTCCCCCCTGCCAGCTTGATTTGCCTTCCGAATTACATCGCTTCATACACTGATGATTGGCATCTGTTGAGGAATATAGTGCGACTTTTTTGTATATGCTCATTGTCAATTGGAGTATGGAACCCGACTAGACCTTCTCATAGAAATGATTCTATGACCAGTCGTTTGCTGATTCGATCTCATCTTTCTTTCCGTTCATTCTCATGCCTCAAAAACCGTTGATATTCGACGGGCCAATGGCATACTGTGTTGCGGTCGCGCTTTCCTAAGCCCTCCATTTTCCCGTCATTCATACCCATATGTGGAACGTTTGGTTACCCGTTTGAGGGTTAGTAAGTCTGATCGAGCTCGCTCTTTACTTGAACTCGAGAACCCCTTTACTTCAGTCATTATGTAGCTACTATGAACATCTGAACGACTCGGACTTACTTATATAAGTAGTCAGAATAAACTTGTGTGATTGACCGTGTGCCCATGGAGACCATCAGGTACACAATATTCTATCAATTCTGGCAAATACCGATGCTCACTCGAGCCTATGCAGGGGCATTCTAGTGTGTTTAGTCGTGCCGAACGTCAGCCCTACAACGTGAGAAGTTTATGGTCGCAGATCAGAGGCCTGATGGTCTAGTAGTATGATTCCTTGTTAGGGCTGTTCGCCATCTCGAGGAGGTCCCGGGTTCAATTCCCGGTCAGGCCCATTTGCGCAATGATTAACCTTCCGTATCATTTTAATCTGTAGGTTCAATCGCCAGCCGGGTAAAAAACCTCTCAATCGAATCGAATGACGTGTGTCACAGTCGACGTAGCTTGGACGGGCTATATCAAACTTTTGTGTCAGAATTCCACTTCCAAAGCCTGAGGGTCTCAGTGAAAGCGTGACTATGGCACGGTGACGCATGTAATCTTCGAAGAGTATCACCATCATGCCACCGCACGTTTCATATCCAGCCAGAACGATTCTTCAAACCACTTTAGCAGCACTTGTTCAGGCCCAGTCTGCCGGCGCGTCTGTCTGCTCCTCTCGTTGTCGAGCTGTTACCCCCGTGTTTGTCAGGAATCTTAATGAGGTGTAGCTCACTTTGGCTCAGGGGACGGGTTGCCGGGGGAGGCAAAAGAATTTATCGAGAGGTGTAACTTCAGGACCCTTCGGTCAGAATCTGATTTCATCGGCCCCTAGAAAAGCTCCTGTGCATTCTTCACACGTTAATCTGCGCTTTGGGGGAGTTGACGGAAATGAGGTGGATGCAATTTGGACCGTTTTTGTCGAGGAGTTGGGGACAGGCAGGGATAACTCGAGCGTCGGGATGGTACTTTGAGTAGTAGGGTTCAGAGTAGCGTGGCACGTACCGTAGTACGCACCGTAGTACCGTCACGTGTAATACTTTTTGCTGGTACTACGGTACTCTGAACGTCCCTACTATCATTCAGAACATAGTCTTCGATCAACCACAGACCTCAAGACTTGCACCAGGACGGCGGCAGAAGTCAATCAGGGCTTAAGTTTGAACCGTAGAGCCCTATATATTGTAACGGGATCGAGTGAAATAAAGGAAGGAAGGGATTTGATGATTGTCCAATAGAAATACAAATGTCTGGCATGTAGATTACTTCTACACCTTGACCTGGGAGCACTCGGACCTCCGACTCGATGATGGCAGTGGACGATACATCCAAACAGGGCTCCAGACGGATGTACTCAAGCAGGATCACCAATCGATCAGGAAGCTAATTTTCCAATTGCTCCCAATTACCTACGAAGGCGTGGCCGTCGCCGCGTTACTAATGGATCCAAGATGAATTTATAGCAGCCGGACGGTCGAAGCTCCATCTCTTGACTGTTTTTCCGGTGCGACATATCAATTTCCATTAGCGCTTTGGACGGAATCCAACGCCACAACGGTTCTCAGGTAATACGAGCCGAGAAAGCAAATCACCCTATCATACAGGACGATTTCTCGTTCCCACCATATATGTTATTTGGTGGTTATAAGAGACAGTGCTTCCAATACCAATCAGACCATAATTCGATAACTCCTGAAGACCTTGAGGCAATAGATAATCTCTTCCTCACGGAGCTGAATGTCGTCGTAAAGCCACTTGCCTTACTCTCGATAAATCATGTTCAGGACTCTCCCGTTTCGTCAGGCTTTCTGATCGACGAACGCCGTCGGAGCTTTTTTCTAGTGTATGGTGAGTGTTTCATTGTTTTGTAATAATAATGCGGAATTACTGAGGCATAGACAACAAACAGGGATGCACGGCATCATCTTCGGGCTTTGTGTCTTGATGCAAAGCTCAGAAACGGTCTAACTCGACGCTCTACTTGGAGTGCACCATCTCCTTTTTCGCCTTGGCGAGCTCGGCGTCGTTTTGGCATCTTATGGTGTAACACGGCAGTCCATTGTCGAGTTTCAGGCTTCGAAGACCCACGATCCGGTTTCACTGGTCAAGTACTTGATTTCTGGATAAGATAAGAGCAGGCTTGCTTAGGAGTGAGTGTCTTCTCTTTCTGATATCCATTCAGGATAATGCCCGTGATTTCCCATCTCAACCAGGTAGACCATCAATGGTCTCGTTAGCAACTTGATGAAGCTCAGCCCAATCGCCTACTAACTTCTCTTTCGTGTTGACGGTTTCGTTGTCAGTACACCTCCGCTTTTCATCGTACTTTTGTGGAAAGCATACTCGTGAGTCTTTCAGATCAATGCTACGTAACCTCTTCTGAGTGTCCCTTCAATGCATATCCACCAATGCTATGTTCTCTGGGGGCCCGGGGGTCAAAAGAATTTTCCAATACCCCCTCGTGTTTACAGGGTCTATCTTGAGTGTACACTCTCAGTATTGTCGTTCCAACCGTCAGCTACTAACGAACTCGGACCTTCCTATCTGTCAGGCATAGGGCTCGCCGTGTCTATCGTGGCACCCGTCGGGATGAGTAGCCCAGCCACGAACCCTCTTTTGTTCAAAGCCAAGGAAAGGGTCTGTGATATTGGCCAGCTATGGCTGCATTCAACAGCTTAATGACGGTCAACCAGTGAGAACTCAACATCTTCGAATGACTTTCTTTTGTATCCACTAGGGGGGTATAGACGGGAGGATCTGGTGGATTAGTCGGGAAGCGCGGCGAAACATGGGGTTTCCAATGTATGTGAAATATGAGTCAATTGGCACAATTAGGTGAGCCGTTCTGGGTCGTCTCAAGTTCTTTATTCTGTGCTACTCAGAGACTCACTCGGCTTCTCATCTGAACTTGAATTGGGATTGCTGTATCCGACCACCTTAATGGTAGCGGTGGTGTTACCGCTCACGCTAGAACCACAATTCTAATGGTACCATCCCTATCGATCTCAGTCTTGTAGCGACTTTGGCGTCGGTAAGTGCGACAGTTGTGGATAAATTCAGTGAGTGCTTACGAATTTAGGGCTCCTATCTCACAGGGTCTGGCGCCGATCTTGATTATTGTCTGCGTCGCCTACGGGAAATTTGTGGATAATGTTCAGCAGATGGTGTCCGTCCACTTTGCGGAAAGGGAAACTCAACCGGGACCGAGTGCCACTAGGGGCGGGGTGGTCTTAGGCATTTTTTTCTATCCATCTAGGAGTGAGGCGGTAGAGTTTGATGTAGAGGCCACTGAATCAGAGAGAAAAAAGAGCGAGATAGTTTCGGTCGTTTGAACTAGTGAGCGAAACCATAAAATCCGTTGATCTCCTAAAATTTTCCTCGAGCATATCAATTAATTTATTCTTCTTTACAATATTTTTACAATGAAATCGAAACACCGACCAACCAAGAGTGCTCACTTTGTGCCTATTCTTTTGCTAAATCATGCTTCTTGTTGGAACCAGGACGCATCGCCGGCAGCTGTTCTTTTTGTTGCGTTTCTTAGCGATCCAATGCGGAGAAAGATGTATAGGCGCATTCAGGAGCACGGTCTCCACGAAGATGTCCTGTTCATGGCTTGCGTTTACAGCCTCTGAAGTTCGACATCCATTCTTTTTACATCCCGGATAGATTGTGCCGCTCTTGAGAGATGTGAACGGGCACATGGTGTAGTTGGTTATCACATCCGCTTAGCAGTTGCTAGTGCGGGGGGTGCTGGGTTCAATTCCCAGTGTGTCCAAAGTCCAATTGCCTAAACCTTTTTGCGTAGGTCATGCTTCCATAATGATTCCGTAGTAAAGGTGCCTTCTTGAGTTCTCTTGGTACCCATGGCCTCGATTTGGAAAAATTCGAAGTAGGGCGGAGATCCAGGCTTGAACCGAGCTCGGCATCTTTCCTACTATGTGCGCGGAGGAAAGGTGTGACTCATTGCCTTCTATATTCGTTTGGTGACCTTTCGTGACACTGTGACGTTCCGATGCATCTCACCCACCGTGGGCCATTGTGAATCCCCATGATACAGCATTAAGTTTCCTCTCTGTCCTGCTCTCGCCAACCTTCCTCATTTATATATCGGGCGTCACTGGGTTCATCCGTCAACGACTCAGACTCGAAGATTCAACCATTGTTTTGCACTCAAATATGGGCTGCAACGACCATCGCTCTGCACCGGGTAAGTCATTTCTTGAAACAAACGGCGAATATCTCATTTCATCTTATACTCAGATATTAGGCTTTTCTCATGCCAGCTGAGCAGAGCATTTCCCATTCTTCATTTAGCGCTGCTTTATTGAACTTAGCTGCGATAGAAGATCTTGATCGTTCGTCGTGGGTGAATCGATGAGGCGTCGTTGCTAGTAGTACCGCAGAAAGTGAAGAGATTTCCAAACGTGCAACGGGAGCCCGGTACGTGGTCCTTGGTGATGAAGGGCAACTTCTCTGTCAACATCTGAGACAATACAGGTCAATGAAGGTGTCTATAGCACCCAAAAACCCGCCAGCCATCGACGCACAGACGATGGGTACCGGCGAGCCTGCCCGCGATCACATCACTACACGACCGGTCGATATCTCTCTTCTCGAAGCTGCGCGATCTTAGATGAAGACAACCGAAATGTACTCTCTCGTCACCAGAAACGTTCACCCTTAGAGATGCTCATCACACCTCGATGTCAATCAAAGGCTTTCCCTGCGACCTTTCTGTTACTATATCGCCATATTCACATTCCGATTGTTCTTCGACTCATTCCTGCTGAACCCTACGACATCTCATCCTGACCTGCTATAGCAACGTTGACGATGTTTTCTGCTCTGCCGAGTAAAACGCGAACATCTCTCGACGGCTTGAAGTCTCTTCAAACGGAGTGTCTAGTCTGGAAGTGAATGCGGAATTAGAGGAGAGTAAGGGGTGCGATGCGTCAAGGAATCCAGCATATCGATCTACCTGCTCCCACCATTATGAACACTAGCTGACGAACGTTTTGGGCTATCGTTATGTGATATTCAGGACGAATGGATATTTGGTACCCGAGCCCTACTTCTTCCGCGAGTCTGGTTTGGGGAACTCAAGGCGTACGGTACACCGGTGTCACTGGATTGAAAAGCGTCTTATCTTTCGTCACGGCTCGTAAATCAGTACTGCCGCGGCAAGTAACATCAAGCCTGTACGTACTGCTTGTGTTCCATTGAACTTGAGAGTTGGAGCTAGTATTGGAGCTGATCGGAGAACTGCACTCCCATTTTGAATTGCTGGAGCGCTCTGGTTGCGAATAGTATCATATGCAGGGCTCGCTTCTACCTTGGCCTCTACATTATCGTTACGGATTCCTTGGAGTGTGGCGTATCGGTAAATTCGAGCCGAGAAACAGGCCTACTTATAAGGCCCCCAGCTCACCACCTTGTCCTAAACTCACTACCACCACACTCCCTCAATTACTACGATTCACGATGTTCTCTAGAACCGGTGCCATCATCCCTATCCTCACTGTTTTCCTCTCCGTATTGCTCGTTGGTCAAGCCTCTGCTCAGTTCGCCAATAATGCAGGTGAGCCGTGTGGATTCCTCTGTTCAAGGCTGGTGAACTGACTGAACCCGTCGACATATAGTCTCCGCATGCCACAACGCGAATGAAAGAGATAGCTGCACATACCAAATCACAGGGACTACTATTTCCGGTAGAGAGTATCGGGTCGTGTCTACGCTTGTTGGTCGTGACTAAAGATGGTTGGAATTACAATGTGCAGAATGCAAAAAATTGGGTGAAAATTTGACCTGCTCTCCTTAAACGCTGCGCGACGAACCAGCTCGCGTCAGTGTAGTAGCACGAGACAGGCTACTTAGATACCAGCCGCGTGGCTTGAGGCGCCAAAAGGAGGCCTTATATATACTGGAAGATTACCTACAAAAACTCGTGCATAGTGTAGTAACCCTCCGCGCGTACTGAGAGCTGGACGTACGGAATTGCGGACCATTCACTACGAACATCAGATAGAATCCTTCATATTCATATTCTGGAGCGCTTCCTTCGGATACTGGATAGAGGTGTTAAAGGAACGCGCAATAATCGTCAGGCCCCGCCGTACACTCTCGGAGGTTATAGGCTACATGGGAGCACATGAGAGGTAGTATTGGACACTCCACCATAGCGGGCTTGTTACTAAAAACATGGTGGCGAGGTCACGTAATGGTGAACATCGCTGAGAAACAAAGCCCTGTAATCAAAATATCTTCATAATTGCTCCCCGAGCAGACCGAAACCCAGCTCGGAGAACTCCGAGAAAAGGTCTACGTCTTGGCTGGCTGATTTTGTGCTGGTTTTTTTCAACGACATCGACTTTCCAGTCCAGCTTTTTCCTGGCCCCTCGAAAAGGTCCGAGATTTCATTTCCATCTGCCTGGGAGCGATTTGCGAATATGCTCTATTGCTGGTATCTATTCACCTTAATGCTTAGACACGGCTTGACAGATGCATCACAACTTACCGGTACCAGCTGAATTGCGATATATGAAGTTTTTTTGGGAGCTCACTGGCTATGCTGTCCCGTACCCTGAACCTGATAGCATCTCAACTGGTGAGTCCGATCGCCCCTCAGATTTTCCTCACGATGGGTCGGTTGAAGGTTTGGAGCGCGAGCTCGATAATTTGGCGAGCTTGCAATCATGTTGATACCAGTCGAGACCGGCTCCATATCATTCGACCTCTCGAATTGGACATATCGGATGATGGGTCGACTCTTACTGTGGCTACCGACTTTTGGCCAAGTGCCAAGACGTGTTTTAGCGTTGAACTGGACTGGTCCGGGTGAATTGATAAACGGTGATCCAGGTCGGTAACGATCTTTACGGTGTTTTACAGGTTCTCTAAATGTGCTCGAACTTCTCGTTCAAAATTCCTTTCGGTGTAGTGTGTAGAAACAGTAAGGAAAAACCTTAAAGCAACGACCCCGGGGCTATGCTATTGGTGAGATAGCTACTAAACTCGTCTTAATAGCGATTTGTCTTCCCACAGGCACACATTCTATATCACTCAAGCCTTCCCGGCGAATGATAATCACGGCGGCTCTTCACTGCCATCACATAGCACCTCAAATTGGTCTCGCCATGTATGTGCGTACGTATCCACAGAACATAGGTATCACGGGTCAAACTGACAGGAGTTGCCAGAGATAGTGAAGAATCTTCGTCGCCATGAACTTCATGGACGATGGAATGGACAAAACGGAGTGGGCATCGATGCCTATTCTCAGAAACAACAGATTTTCCTACTTTCATAATCAGATTCTCGAATTTCTCCACCGCGCTCGAATATCATCGTATTGTATTCTGGGTCTCTTATCTTGTGCAGATAAGGCTGCTTCTGCCCGCGACAGTCCACATCAATTGTTTTCATCATCATCACCATCTACCACTAAGGAAGGCCACAGTAAATGAATCTTCAAAAACCCCAAAGATACGTACGCGAGCCTCTTCACCCCTCCTCCAGTTGCTGCTTACCACCGACAACACTTCACTTCTGTGGTCAGCAAAGGTGATGGTGAATCTTTACAACCTCTCGATCTCCGACAGCTCCCCAACTATCATCTACTCCCCATACCGAGAAGTGGAAGATGTCGCATCAGGATGGAAAAGTGTCTATACTGGCAGCCCAGATAGTGTCTACGACAACACCTTTCAGGGCGCCAACCTCCCATCGGGGTCATCCTCCCATACCACGACCATGCAAGGCGCCAGCTTTGAACTGATGTTTGTCGGAACAGCGGCATATATCTATGGATTGGGATCAGCCTGGGGTTACACGACGACTTTGGATGATGGAGCCGAGTTGGAGGGTGCGCCGAGGGAAGGCTTGCTAGTGAGCTATGAGAACTTGGAGTACAAGGCACACAAGTTGGCATTGACTCTGGCTCAGAGTCAATCTCTGAGCGTGTCGTCAGTCTTGCTCACCGTGGGTATCGGAAAAATGGGGTATGCATGTTTCAGGGTTATCACTCCTCCCGAGTGCCCAGCTGACGGCCAACTATAGAGCTATGGTCACGAACACGACTATAGACGCCGTGAGCATCAATGCAGATGGTACATCATCCCTGAACAATGCTTATTTTTACTTGAGTGGCGATGGTGTCAACACTCGAGGAAATAATGATGTACTCGCGTACCCCCGGGTCGATACCAATGTCGCCGGCTCAGCAATCCATATAAAGTTCAACGGGGCGTACGTCGAATGTTGTCCATAACATATCACCTGGAAAATTGACGCAGACCTACAGCTCGGCGTTCCAGGTGAAAGGCGCCACTTATCATGACCATGGGTCGTTTTCAGCCACCCTCAATCCGTCAGCCGGGGCCTCCACTTCCCCCCGAACATTCAACGCAACTTCAAAATGGTTTGCGTCCGACACCCTCATCTACTGGGAGTCTGGGCTTGATCGTACTCAGCAATACACTCTATCGCTTACAAATGGCGAGCAAAATAAATACCTAGATGTACATTCGGTGAGCCTCCAGCTCAACTGTGAGTATACAGCCTCCGATCAACTCCCGCCACCCACCAGATTATACTGATGGATGGGGAAGGAGGAACGTCAGTGTAGCTTTCTCATATCACCGTGAACCGCGCTGATCTCACAGCACTCCCGCAGGGACAACACGGGCTCTTCTTCCGCTGGCCCGCCCCTATTTTCCTCATCAACATCCACATCGTCTCAAGTAGCCGAAGAAACCTCTACAGGCATTGCGCCAAGTG